ATCAAAAAATGAGCCGGGTGTGGTAGCGCATGCCTGTAGTTCCAGCTACTTGGAAGGCTGAGGCGGAAGGATCGCCGGAGCCCAGCAGGTCGAGGCTGCGGTGGCCGGGAGCGGCCACTGCACTCCAGTCTGGGCTGGAGTCTCACCATGTTGCTCAGGCTGGTCACAAACCTGTGGGCTCAGGCAATCCTCTCGCTTCAGCCTCCTAAAGTGCTGGAATTACAGCTTTGAGCCACCGTGCCCAGCCATGATTTACTTATGATTATTTTTTGAGTCAGAGTCTCAGTGACTCCGTCACCCAGGCTGGAGTGCAGTGGCACACTCATAGCCACCCCAACATTGACCTGCTAGGCTCCAGCAATCCTTTCACCTCAGCCTTTCAAGCAGCCAGAACTACAGGCATGCACTACCACACCTGGCTAATTTTTGATTTATTGTAGGGATGAGGACTCGCCAAGTTGCCCGGGCTGGTCTCGAACCCACGGGCTCAGGCAATCCACTCACCTCAGCCTTCCTAAGTGCTGGGATTACTGATTGAGCCACTGGGCCTGGCCTAAGTCTTCTGTCTTGCTAGGCTGCTCCTTCCTGGCCCTAAGCAGGCTTTTGTCTGTGCCCACTGGTGTTCCTGCTGGGGGCTTTCATTGTACTTAGTGGGAAGAATTGGGAAAAGCACATCTGCTTGATCTTCCTGGGCACAGAAGTTCAAGTTTACTTTTGGCAGCTATGTCAAGTTGTCCTTGTTACATGTGGTGCAAACATTAGTTTTCAACAGCTTCTTTTTCTTAATGGTGTGTTTGGCTATGTCGAAATGTTTTGTATAGTCCAATATGTTAATCTTAAAAAAATGAACTCAGTTTTGTAACACACTTAGAAAGCTTATGGGAAAAAAACCTCCCATTTTCTTCTAGCTTTGAAGTTTCTTTTTTAACATTTAAATATGGGAGCCATCTGGGATTTATTTTGGCATAAGACTAGGAATCTCCCTGCACTCCCTGCCCCCACACCACTACCCACTTGTCCCAGCTCTTTTACTAGGTAATATTTTACAGTGTTAGGGAAATTCTTTTATTTGGCAAATACATGTTTATCATGGTGGTCCTAATGGCTGAGTGCTGCAAAAAGCAGTTTGAGTCTTAGAGGCTGCACTAAGCAGGGGATAGTTCAGATCTCAGTTTCTTTGGGTGTCGCTCGCTGACAGCTGATGGTCTGCGCCCCACCGTTGGAGCTGCGTGACAGACTGAACAGTCTGTCTGTCCCTGTCTGTGGGACTTGGCTGGGACCTGGATACCCTCTAGGTTTAGGAAGCCAAGGGTGGCCATGGAGGGCACCTTGGAAAGTGCTCCAGTTGGCAAAGTTCTTTCTCCTCATGGCCTGGTCACCAACCTACAATACAATGCCCCAGCTACCTGGGAGCCTGGACCACAGAGCACGTGTGAAGAGGAACCCAAAGGGACGTGGGGGTGCAGCAGAAATGAAAGGGAGAGAGGGGAGTGAATGGAAGCGGGCAGGGAGGGTCTGCCTGCATTTGGAGACAGAGCAGAAGGCGGCGCCACCGTGGCAGCACTCCCTGCTTCCAGGTCCTAGGACCACCAGCATGTAGCTCCACTGTCTCAAGCGTCAGAGGGGAACGGAGAGTGGCATGGGGGGACGGGGGCAATGGGGGCAGTGCTCTGCGGAGTGTGTCCCACCTGCCCCTCCTTGAGGCTGCCCTAATCCATTCCTCCTCCAGTCCTCCCATCCTCTTCTGGTCCGGTGCAGCACTGCCTGTGGCTTGGAACAGCAGGCCCGGGTGCCCAGCGTGATGGGCTGTCTCCTTACCCATCAGTCTCGAGGTTGGGCAGTTGTAGAGAGTCTCGTGTAAGGCAGCACCTAGTGGGATTATGATGGGCGGCAACGTGTCCGGGTACTCTGTTCCAGTAGAGCAGTGATGCCAGTTATGAGCAGACCTTCCTCTCCTGGCTGTTAGTTTCTTCTGCTCGGGAGAGATGCCACAGCCAGGGAGCAGAGGGGTGTGAGGAAAATGAACACCTTCGTCTGAACACGAGACCCTCCGTGCCCAGGCCTCAGTCCATGCTCCCCGTGTGAGTGTTGTGTGGCGGAGATGCTCTAACTAGAAGTAAGAGCCTGGGTTTTGGTCCTCTCTACTATTCACTGGCTGACCAAGAGAAAATCATTTTCCTTGTTTTCTAGGCCTTGTTTTCTTCACAAATAAAATCGGGTACTGGGCTAGATCAGTGAGCTCTTTTTTAAAGCCCTTTTAACATGGGAGATTTCACAGAAACGCATGAATGAAAGCATTCAGTGCCAGGCAGCTGGGGTTGAAGCCGGCCCAGCCCCTCTCTATGAATGGAGGCGACAGCACCTGCCAGAGCTGTGGGGGCTCATAAGACGGTTCCCCGTAAGGCTTCTAGTAGGGTTGGGAACGCAAGTGCTCCATCACTGAAGGGGCCGCGATGAGCTCCCCTGGTGCCTTTCCGAATCCTCCTCTTTCAATGCCAGCGCAGCAACCCCTCCCTTTCCCTGTTGCACTGCTCTCTGGGAACACTCCACCCCTCTGCATCCCTACCACAGTGTGGCTCGGGCTAGCAGCATCTAAAAACACCCAAAACATCTAAAACTTAACCTCTGTAACCAAACCAAGTTCCTGAAAGGCAATCATTTCTTCCACCGCTCTAGGTCCCACATGCTGCCTGGTGCACAGATCAAGACCTGTCTGTGGAGGGAGCAGCCCAGCCCAGGCTGCAGAGGAGACACTAGCACATGGCCCTGGCGTGGAATCCACAAGCTGGTGTTTCTGAGGAGGGGAGGGTGAAGTGTGGGGTCCTTGCACCCAAACATGGTTAACCACAACCTCTACAGAGCACGAGACGGACAGTGGAGTCTCCAGACTCTCATCTCCGCCAAGCAGAGCCGGACACTCAGGACCAAGCGGAGCCAGTGTCTAGCCGGGGCCCACGCTTCTGCCAGGAAACAGTCAAGACACTTTCCAATTCAAAGACTGAAAAATAAGGCTGGTTTTATGTCGCTTCTCATTTATTAATTCAGTCTGTTCTAAGTTGTACGGTTATGAAAATAACAAAACCAAAGCTGGAAGCCCAGGAACATTTACACTCTCTCGGGTAGTGAGGTCAGTCTATGCTGTTGCACAGATTGGTTATGTTTGGTACCTCAAGATGTTTATAATTCAGACAAAATCAGACAGATCAACAATTATATGTACAGTAAAACAAAAGGGAAGTCATTCAAGTATCAAAATACAGAGACAAAGATTAAATAACATTTTTATTACAATTCCGTCCCAGTGCCGTGCCATTAGCCACAACACTTCCGTGAGCTGCGCTCTGCAGGCCTGGGTGTCTCAGAACAGACCGAGGTCAGACTCGTTGTCTAAAATCTTGATCACTGCAACTACGCTTGCTGCCTGCTCAGACCTAAGGCTTCTCACGGACTCCGCTGGAGCCTGGTGCTCGAGGCCCACGAAGGACCTTGGAGGCGCGAGTCCTGCTGCACAGAGCAGCGGCGAGCAGAAGAGGAGGGCGAGCAAGGAGCCTGCGCCGGGGACAGGTGCTGAGCCCATCTCGTTTCCACCCAGCCACACGGGCTCCTTCACAGTTCAGAACGCAGTGGCAGGGTTGGCCACACTGCATGCCAGCACTTAGAGAAGTGTAGAGGCAGGGGCCTTCCCGCTTGAGCCTGTCCTTAAAGTTACAACGACCTTTCCAGGGAAGGGAGAGTACCTGCCCCCAGGAGGAGTGGCAAGGGAAGAAAGAGCCAGTCATTCACCTTTCTTCACTCTTCTGAAATAAACCAATCTCAAAGCACAACCTAGAGCCAGCACAGACTAGCTGAGGCCTTCGGCAGGAAAACACCCTGAATAAATAAAGAAGGTATAGCAGCTTCAAGGGGGAAGAAACACCTGCGTAGTATCTAAAAACAAAAGACAGCTTGTGGACTCATCGTAGTGTCTACATGGTTTTCTTTTTGGACCCACCACCACCAACAGAGGCCCACTTGGGTGCGGCCCAGCCTCCTTGGGAGGAAGGGCAGCAGCCCGAGTGTGGCAGCAGGAGCAGCACAGCATACTAAGAGCCGTGGCGTCCGTGTCCATCCGTGGGGTAGAGCAGGGGCTGACTACTGCACAGTGTTACCTCACAGGAATCCCCACAGGCCCCGAATGAAGCAGGAAATGGTGTCGAGGTCCTCGTTTCGTACCAAGAAGTAGAGGACAACCTGCCTCTACTGTACAGGGGGCGCTCAGCACGGGAAACCCACAAGCCCAGCCTCAAGCTGGCCCAAGACACAGCCTGCTTTTGGTTTCCGGCCAGTCACATGGGCTATGCGTGTGTGCTCAGGGGCACTCTGCCTGCATACATACCAACAATCGACACTCACAATCTGGCTAGGAAAGAGAGAGAAGTGCTGCTGGAACCTGGAATATTCGTCCTGGGACCAGAAAACATGAGGCCTGCTCAAGTACCCACGGGAGGAAACGCTCTTCTTGTTGGCAAACTGGGAGGGACAGGACAAGCAGCTGACCTGGCTTCACTTCTCAACCCCACAGACTCAGCCTCTTCGTTTCCACGCTAGTTCAGGAGGAAGAACATAGCCCAAGCAACTTTTCAAAGCGAAGCCAGCTATGAGAGAGGCTTGAGCAGCCGTGGGGCACGAGGACGCCAGCCCACCTTGAAGGCCACATTGGAGGAAAATCAATGCATTGTCACCTTATTGAGCCTTTTCCACACCTGGAGCCAGGGATGAGCCCAGCAGCTGAGAACATAACAGTCAAATCAGAGAATCATGAGCCCTAATCACACAGACCTGATTAGACAAATCACACACTGGCAAGTAGCAATCTTAGCTAACCTACCCATTAATGCCCAAGACAAAGCTGCTTTTGCTCCTGACACAGCTCAGACAGTACGTCACGAGAGTGCTGTGGCCAGCCAGTGCAGGGCAGTCCTCTGACACCAACAGGAGAGAGACCAAGAAACGCCTGGAGTTCTGGTGCTGGCTAAGACCTCATGGCACCAGAAACTGCCCGCATGTCTCTGTCTGGCCACTGGACCTTCAAACCTGGAACACCAGAGGCAGGCCGGAAACCCTGCTCTTGCTCAGGTGCCTCCTAGGCTGTGTCTTACTGAAGCGTCTGTGTCCAGCCACCCCTTGATGGGGACAAGAATCTGGATAGTTCCTCAGGAACAGCAACTAATCTGGCTGGGTTGCACAGGGGACTCCTGAGCCTGCGCCTTCTGGCTCGCCCACAGGCCACTCCTGCTCTTAGGCCTAGGGAGCCACACCACCCTCCCATCCTGGGACAGAGCTGCACAGGCTGGCCTAGCCAGTCTCAGCGCCCCTCTCCTCTGACCTCATTTGTCTCAAGATTGGCAGTTTGACCTAGAGGTTTGAGTCAAGTGTTAAAAGTTCATTTTATAAAAGGATTTTTTTTCTGTTAAAAAAATGTGTTTTGAACAAGTCACGTCTTGACCCTCGGGAGTCCCAGTCCCATCTGCTGAGGCCTGGCGTGCTTCTCTGCGGCCCGGCAGGGCTGGCTCTGCAAGGCCTGGTGGTGGCAGGCCCAAGCCGAGCAGCAAGAAGAGGCAGAGGTGGGCCTGGGTCTTCAAAGCTGCAGGTGAGATGGCGGCGCTGGAGGAGGAGCCTGTGCTCCTGCGTCTGTGTTTCCGCAGCACAGTGGGTTCCTCAGTGGCTCAGCTTGGCAGAAGCAAACAGTGGGGGGAGGAAAGGGTTAACCAGAGGGGCCTGCAGGTGGAAACGGAAAGGAAACACAGAGCAGAACAGACGCCCTCACAGCCTCCCCCAGGCTCTCCATGGCTGCTCCATAGCTCCCAGCACCGCGGCCCATGCCCGCTGCTGCCTCTGGCTCTGCCAGTCCGCTCAGGAAGGCACAAGGACAGGCGGGCGGGCGAACCCGCCCTGGGTTTCAACTCTCAATTACTGCCGCAGCTTATTGGCTCTCCTACCGGGCTATGCTACCCTTGCGCCGCTTCCTACTGGAATCGCGTCATTCCCGTCTCCTGCCATTCAACTGCCTGCCTGCACCGGAGAATGTGGGCCTTCTTCAAAGACTCCGTTCCACAGTCACGGCTGCTGAGCGGCCTCTCCTCACAGAGGAGCCAAGAGGCTGGGGAGGCTGAGCAGGGAGGGACAGGACCGGCTGGTGCCTGACTATGTCTGATCCCCACACCGTGGACGAGCGTCAGGAGGCTCCTGGCGGACAATGGAAGTTGCTCGGCCCGGGCCCTGTCCTCGAGCAGCTCTGCTCTGTGAGGGAAGAAGGCGCACTGTGTGTGCAGGGCACGGGCCTCCCTCTTGCTGGCTCCTGCAGGAAGGCCTTCCTCCCCCGTGAGCTAAACTCCAGAGCCAGGCCCAGGGCTCCCAGCCTTGCGAATCAGTGGCGAAGACACAAGGGGCTGCCTGCATGCATGCTCCCCCATTCCTTGGAGTAGAAGGCCCATCAGGACTGAGGACCTGCCGAGCGGAGCCAGCCTGTGCATGTTCAGATGCTCAAAGCCCACGCCTTGGAGTCTGCATGTGCCCGAGGGCCTGGCACATACCTTGGGCCCTCATAGAAAGCAGTCTGTCCTTGGTCAAGCCACATCACTGAGGTCAGGGTCTCCCAAGGCCCCGACAACAACAGCGAGGCCAACACCTTAGAGCAGCAAAGGAGGGCGGGGCAGGGCAGCAGGTCAGCTGTGAGCAGTGCTGAGGGATTCTGGCACTGGGTGGTCACAGTGGTTGGTTGTCAGGAAAGGTGAAAACAGACAGCTCTTGGCAGCGGCACACAACTGTGGCTCAGTTTAGCAGAAGGGAGAAGGGAGCCAACAGAGAGAGCCCAGCCCAACTCAGAGGGAGTTAACGGTGCCCTATGGATTCTGCTCGAAGACTGCCCACCCCTCAGGACTCACAGTGCCTGCCTGCAGAGGCTTCCTGGGTGCAACCCAGTCCCTTAGCCCTCTTGGTGCCCACCTCAAAGGCAACTCGCCCCCCCAGGCTGTCGTCAGCCCAAGGGGGAGAGTTCACAGTGTTCGGTGGTTCTAGGTACGAGGCTGCGAATGAACAGTGCCTAGAGCTGCTGCCTGGGGGAGGCGGGTCCCAGTGAAAGTGGGGCCTTGGCGTCAGCAGCTGGAGGGAGAGAGTTGAGGACAGCAGAAAGATCAGATGACAAAGGCACAGTGAGACTAGTGGAGACAGGGAGTGGGTTGTTTTAGAAGATAGTGGTCTCATACTTGGTGCTGAGGCTCCTCTTAGAGTCTGGTTTTGGGTCCACAACCCAGGAAACACTGGCATGTGACTGGGCATCTTGGTCCACATCGGGTGGTTCCAGCTGCCAAACAAGGAAACGGTTTCCAGTTAGAGAGGGAGCTCCAAGCCAGGCAAGAACCAGGCAGGACTCACATGTCCCTCTGCCCCCAGGTTGGGCTGGAGCCCACAGGCTGTGAGGGGCATCCCTTATTCCCCTCAGCCCAAGAGCAAGCCTCTGGGGTCGGGGAGCAGTGACATCCTTCCTGGAGCATCTTTCGGAGGGCCACCTCCAGTCCAGGGATAACTTTTCCTCAACTCAGTTAAAGGAACCCCACCCTACTCAAGTCTTCTGCTCTAGGCCCCAAACCTGTTCGTGGTGGGCAGGAAGGGGATATGGGGCTTGGAAATTCCAAGCCTTGGGTCCCTCTGGTAAGGCCAGAGAGCTCACCCTGAGGTGAGATCACAGCAGTGATCCCAGACCTCTGGAGAGAGGACACATGACAGAAACACAGAGAGGGCTAAAGCACACACAGTAACGGGCAGAGGGCATCTCAGGAAAGGAGAAAAGAATGTCACGCAGGCAGAGGAGGAGGCCACCAGACCCTAAGAACGCTCACGGTCACTTCAGGGAGACTGACACACAAGACAGCAGGAGGCGTAAAGACCTTGACTCCAGGACTAACAGACGGCAGCGGTAGGTAGGAAGGACGGTGGGTGGTGCAGGTGTGACAGTAACAACAGCGACTATCAGGGGGCAGCAGCACCTGGGGTGCGAAGCAAAGCAGACACAGACACAGGGATGATGGTGTTACTAGGGCCTGGCCAGAGGGCCCCGCGCTCTGCAGTCCCTCAACGGCCTCACCCTAGGTTGAGCCCAGCTGGGGGAGTAGGAGTACTGCAGGCAGACAAATGCCCGCCCAGGTCAGAGGAGCTGCTGCCCTCCAGGTTGAGGGCCTGGGCAGTGTTGGGAGAGGGCTAATATGTGACTTGCTTCCTTGAGGGGCTGGCTGCCTGGAAGCGCGAGGAGACCCTCCTCGTGCCAGATCCCTCCCGCTCCCCGTAGATCCCAGGTCAGGGAGATGGGGAGTCTTGGCGAGTGGGGCCCACGTACTGCAGATTTCCTCATGCCGACCCGAGGTTTAGGCACTGGTTTGGAAGATTTCGTTTCAACCATCTCGGCTGCAGAGGCTCCCATTGACCTGGACTTCTGAGCCTGCAGGGCCAACTGGTAGGCCACCTCAAATGCCTGTCCCAGCGTCAGGATGATCTCATACGTCAGATTCTGGAGGAAACAGATTGTCACCTGAGCACTCAGGCTTCCAGTGCCCTAATCCCTTTTCCCCTGCCCTGTCCTCACACCCCCACCCGAGCACAGGCACAGATGTCTGGACAGGTAATGGGAGAACACTTGTGCTGAAAATACACATCTGTTCCAACTCGACCAATATGCTAAAGAACAATCTAAGCAGAAGATGTTTTGCGTCATATGTGTGAGTACATCTGACAGAAGTGCTGGGTAAATGCAAAGACTGTTGCTAGCTGGACCGAGTCCCGTGAGACACACAGAGATACCTGTGCCTGCACCTGGTGCCACAGTATCCCTAGATGCTGTCCCCCAGGGACGCATGAGCTGCACCCTTCTGACGGCCACCTGGCCACACAGCCCTGCCCCTCATTTGTCCCTCCTGTCAGTCTTTGTGGCTTGTACCTCCCTGTTTCCTGTCCTTTCTCCCTTTCTAGGTCTCTGCTCTCCCCTCACACAGAGGCTGAGGGCCAGGAGCTAGACGGGCAGTGCACACCTCTGCAGATCAACTGCAGTTCTTGTTCAGTGTTATGTATCATGTCTACTGGAGTGTTCAGGCATTTCCTAGTCATTCGATATGAATAAAATGGTGCTTGTGCTGTTTATCAAGCTCCTATCATTTATTTTTTAATGTGTCACCGAGTATCTGAGTGCTGTGCCCCTAATCCATTTCCCATAAACTTTGGTTTTCATTGTGTGATTTTACACAGCACAGTGATTTTTAGGAGCGCCTGTGCTGCGTTGCAGCAGAACTGACTATGTGGAAAAGTGAGCTACAGGTAAGTGCGTGCCACACTTTTGAGTGCTGTGTGAACTGCCTCATTTAATCTTCAAAACAGCCCCAGGAAGCTGGTCATATTATATTCCCCTTTGTACAGATGAGGAGACAGTCAGAGGTGATGCTTCCAAGATCACACAGATAGCTAGTGGCAGAACCAGGCAATCTGATCCCAGAGCCCTGGCTCTTGAGTCCAAAAGGCCAGAGCAAGCAGAGAGCTGGGCACAGAGACTCTTGGCTCCAAAGAACCAGAGCAAGTAGAGAGTGGGGAATGCCCGGGGCTGTCAGTGTTCTAGAAGTCAGAAAAATTCTGCAAATAGCTACTTTCCCAGGCAGCAGGGACCCAACCCCCTGGCTTCCCGCTGGGGGAGGGGATGGTCTGGGACCACCACTGGGTCTTGTCTGAGGGCAGAGGGACCCATCATGTGGGTGGTCATCTCTGGTCTACTTCCTGTGGGCAGCTGTGTGAGGATGAATGCACCTCAGCCCAGTGGCACTCAGGGCTTAACAAGCAGGAATCTGAGGGAAGAAAACCTACTGCCAAGGAGGATGCTGCTGCCTGAGAGGGACATAAGGGCATTTCAGGGAGACTGCCCCGCTGAAGGGTCATGGAACTGGAGCAGCAGATTGACAAACAGAAAGCCTTAGAGAGACACAGGCCTTGCCTGACCTAAGAAACACTTGACTAAAAGCTGGAAAGTCGGGCACAGTAGCACAGGCCTGAAACTCCAGCTGCTTGGGAGGCTGAAGCGGGAGGATCACTTGAACCCAGGAGTTTGAGGCTAGCCTGGACAACATAGCAAGACATTGCTTCTTAAAAATACATATACAATAATAAAATTTAAAAAATAAAAGCTAGAATAAAATCTGTCATTAGCACCCCAAACGGCTGCTGGACTTGGCTCATGAACCAAACATTTGCCAGGTACCAGCTAGGGACCAGGGCACCATGTGGGCATCTGTGCCCACCCGAAGGGGCAGGACCCCACAGGGCTCGCGCCCAGCCCAGGGCCCCACCCACCACATCCACCGTGCTGAACACATGGCAATAGTGGTGGCTGGTCTGCAGATCCTTGGTGATGTAGGCGAAGGTGCAGAGGTCTTCCGGGTCCTGGGCTGCACAGGAAATGTTCCGGATCTCATGCTCCGCAATGACATTCTGCTGGGGAAAGAGGTGTTCTGGAATCCTCGGGCCCCTCAGGGATGTCTCGGGCACCAGTGGCCCAGCCTTTTGCCATCACCTTTCTTTGTCCCAGTCTAGAGCATCAGCCAAACCCCACTTCTTCTCATTTTTTTGGTGGGGGCTGGGGGCAGTGTTGAACCTTGTCTGACTTGGGTACGGAGTCTCCACCCTTAGCATGGCCACTAAGGAAATAAAAATGTCCATATCCAACCCTGAGTTCTCCCCAGCCTCTCCCACCTTCTAGGGTGGGAGTAAAGTAAGAAAGGTCACAGGAAGGCTGGATCTCAAGCAGGGGGTGCGTGGGGAAGTCCTTTGCTCACTGAAGAGATCACACCACTGACAGCTATGAGCCTCCAAGCAGGCAAATGGAGCCCATGCTGAGGAAGACAGTGGTGGTCACTAAGTTGGGGACAGGACTGGCAACAGGTGCTCAGAGATAAGGATATGCGAGATGAGAGACCAGCACCTTGGTGAGGTGGCAGAAGTGGATTAGGCACCCTCGAGGGAGACAAGAGATGAGAAAGGGTACCCAGACGGCTCTGACAGGGAGAAGGATCCCACTCCCACCAAGAGTCCTCATAAGCAGCACACCTTGTTAGAGGCATCGATGAACTTGACACCTTTGTATGTGATGGACAGGATGATGGTGGGGATCTTCTTCATGTGCTCGGTGGATTTCTACAGGAAACAAGGGTGGCCCCGTGAACACACCTTCTCAGGGCGAAGCCTCTGGGATTCCACAGCCCCTGCCTCCTTCCCATCCTGATGTAGCATGGCTCCCGTATGCTCCTTCTGTCCTTGCCGGCCCCACAGCACACTCCACCCCACACAACCTACCCGCATCTTGGCACAGGCGTCTTGCGTGGATTCTGTCCCTCGCAGATCTTTAATCAGCATGGAGCCTAGATACTGTGGGAGTGAGCAGTGGCGAGGCTTAGGAAGTCCTGTGTCACCACACAGGGTGGCCCAGTCAATTTGGGACTGTCCTGCAATCAGGTGGTTTCCTCTCCTAACAATACTCCCTTTTCCTGTCCCAGGTGGGGAGGCCCTCCACTCCTTTTCCCTAGCTGCTGAGTGGTCAGAGATAGAGAACAGCACCCGAGCCCTGGGCCTGGCATTATGGCGGGTCTGAGAGCCTGCTGGGCTTCAGGGCTGCAGGGCCTGGCTGACAAGGGACAGGGAGCAGGGAGGCTGGCCATGCTGGAAGGGCAGGAGGACTCACATTGGCTTCATAGCCGCAGGACTCGAAGATGAGTTTCTCTGGCTGGTGCTGCCAACTTTGCACAGGGGCATAGGGAGCGGCCAGGCTGGGGGGCCGAAGGGTCAGCTTGGCCTCACGGTGCTCCTCCTGTAGAACACATGCAGTTGGACGCCTGCTTACTTATCCCAGAGGTACTCCCAGGCTCGCTGTCAGGTTCCAGCACACCCATGGGTGAACAAGCCAGCGACTCGGCGAGCTCAAGGGATGAGTGGAGAGGGCAGGGGCAGACAGGCAACTCAAATGCTATGGTGGAGGTGGTGTCTCCAACCCTAGAGAAGAGGCAGAGAACCCAACTGCCTCTTCTGAGCAGGGCTCAGAAAGGGCTCTGCGGGGTCTGAGACAAGTCTCAAAGGACATGGGAAACAACCAAAAGTAGAGAGGAGAAAACAGTGGGGAAGCATGCACGCTGGAGGTTGTTCAGCACCAAGAACAAAGGCGTGCAGGAGTCAGGCCCCTCGAAGCCTCATGTCCTTGCGCTGGGCCTTGGAGGAAGCCCGTGTGGCAGGGAAGTCAGTGAGGCACCCATAGCCAGGGATGCCACTTATTTATATTAGAGACAGGGTTTCATTCTGTCACCCAGGCTGGAGTGCAGTGGCACAATCATGACTCACCATAGCCTCGGTTACTTGGGCTTAAGTGATCCTCCCACCTCAGCCTCTCAAGTAGCTGGGACTGCAAGTATGCACACTGTGTCTGGCTAAGTTTTTTATTTTTTGTGGAGATGTGGTCTCACTATGTTGCCCAGGCTGGTCTCAAATTTCTAGTCTCTAGTGATCTTCCCCTGTTTTGGCCGCTGGGATTACAGCCCTGAGCCACTGCCCAGCCTAGGGATGCATTTTAAATTGATCCTTTGGGGCTGGGCATGGTGGCTCATGCCTGTAATTCCAGCACTTTGGGAGGCCAAGATGGGAGGAAGACCAGTCTGAACAACACAGGGAGACTGCATCTTTACAAAAAAAAATTACCTACAAGTGGTAGTGCATGTTGGAGTCTCAGTTACTTGAGGCTGACGCAGGAGAACTGCTTGAGTCCAGGAGTTTGAGGCTGTGATGAGCTATGATCATGTTACTGCACTCCAGCCTGGGTATCAGAGTGAGACTCTGACTCAAAAGAAAAAAAAAAAAACCGGATCCTTGGGGCAGCAGCAAGGGTTTGGGGGTAGAGACCATTGCAGTCCAGGTAAGAGTTGATAGGTCCTTGCCTAGGGTACTGGTAAGGCATGGAGAGGAAGGAAATGACCCAGGAAACACTTAAGACCACATTCTCAGCAACCTGCAAAGAGTCTCTCAATACAGAGCAACTGAAGTTGTTGGAAAGGTGTTTTTAAGTCTCTTAAAATTCACGCTGTGCTTGTGAAAAGGTCAGGGAGGTCCCCAGAGGTCAGACATGAGAAGTGAGTCAGAGAAACACGCAGGAGTAAAGCTAAAGTTCACCCTGTGAACGTGAGGGCATGAGGGACATCTGCCAGAGCTGTGTCTCACAGGCCGTGATGGGGACTGGGAGGCAGGCAACAAAACAGCAGGTCTTGAGTAAACCCAGGACCCCTGAAAGTGATGCCCTGAAAGGGAGGGCTAGGAGTGCGAGATGGGGCCAACGTCCGGCAGCGGCTAGAGATGTACCGAGGAGCAGGGGGGTTTCCAGCTGCGCCACCTATGGGCTGAGAAGTAGAACAGAAGCCTGTGGGGTTGAGGAGGCTGGAGAGAAAGCAGTTCTGCCGACCGAGTGTGATAAGGGAGAAAGGCACTGAGAGGGCCATGGGACCAGCAGGGGACTGCAGGGTGGGCGGAGGAGGAGCGGTGGGGATGAGCTTCTGACAGGCGGGTGGGGGTAGGAGCGGCCCCAGCAGCTGACAGCTGAAGTGGCTTGTGCAGTCTGCTCTGGGAGGCTTGGGGACTGCATGGGCCACACACATGGTGGCTGGGTGGCTCTGCCTCTTGACCCTGGTGCCAGCCCAACAGTGTTTGGGCACAGGAGCAGCAGATAGCTCAGGGAGGCCCTGTCCTGCCCAGAGGAAAGAGGTGGACCCTAGCTGCAACCCCTCCTGCCCCACCTGGATTCTGAAGCGCTCCATTCGAGAGGATGCTGCAGGCTCATGAAGGCTGTCATGGCGCCTCCTGCCTGTGTCCGCAGGAGGCAGCAGCAGGTCTGCTGACCTCCCGGTGCAGGAATCATTCTGGCTCAGGGGGGATGACGTCTGGGAGAGCAAGTCTTGGCACTGCAGAGGAGAAATCCAGGTGGAACTCAGGTGGCTCAGGGGAAGAACCCAGTCTCAGGCTGGTTAGGGCGGCATGGGCGGCAGTACCAATGAGACAGAAGCAGCAAGGAGCCAAGGGACCAACACCATAGAGGCATCAGACACATGACACTTCAGACCAGAAGCCTGTTGGAAGTGGGCCAGAGCCCAGCCTGGTCACAATCAAAGCCACCAATCCTTCCTGGAACTGGGAAGCACTGACAGCCCAGTCCTACAGGGGAGCAGTCACTGTCTGCTGTGGCCCTTGGCTCGGAGCCATATGGGAAAGGGAGGGTTATTGGGCAAGGATACCACTTTTAATTCATCAAAGATAAAATCATTTGTCACAAGTCACTGCAGTTCTCTGCACATGACCAAGACCAAAATGTTTTCTTGAGAAAAGCCTCAGTCCTGCAGTTGGGCCTGAGAACACAAATCAGGCTTCTCAGTGTCCCTATTTGAATCTCAGCTGTGTGTCTGGTTATCAGCACAAGGCTGGGCTTCAGCTTTCTTTGTAAAAGGATGATAAACAGTATGCATTTTCTGAAGCTGTCGGAGATTTAAATGAGATGAGGCTCACAGGGCCCGTGCACAACAGGAGCTCTGGTGGGCGGGTGCTGCTCTCATCCCACCATCACACATACCACATACACATTGTGCGTGTGCAGGGAGAGCTCCAACTCAGGCTCCCAGAGTCTAACCCTTCTGCAGCCAGGGGTGATCAGGTTGAGCAATAGATCATCCATGAGGTTTTAAAATCATAGGCTCTCTTAGCTATCCCAGTCCAGGAATCCCAACTCAGAAGATTCAGGGTGGGGCTCAGGACTGAGGCCTTGCTGTGTGATCCAAGCTTTGTCTCAGGTTCCTACCAATCTGCCTGGAAAGGGAAGGGGACTCCTCCAACCTCCCCGTCTTTCCTACCGGCCCAGCTTGGCCCTGGTGCAGAGCTGAGTTGATCAACCAGACACACCCAGGCAAGGCTGAGACCTGTATACCTGTTTTCCCACTTTCCCCAAGACCTTATTTTCTATTTAGATTTAAACTGGCTTCTTGATTATGGCCACCCCAAGCTTCTTTGAATGTAAATGGGTGGCATATATTTATAATAACCAGCCAAAAACATGCTCTCCTGTACTCCTCTCTTCACCTGGACTTAGGGGCAGACTTGGCCCCAAGAACAAGACAGGGGAGGGGCTATGCTCTCCTCTTCATAGAGGGCACACTGTCTCTGAAGAATCCCAGAGAATGCTATTTAACTCCTAAAAATACATTATGCATATTCCTTTTCCTTTTCATCCCTCTCCAACTCACCCTCAGCTGGGAAAACCGCGGGGGCTTCTGGGGTGGCTCCTCATAGGGCCTGTCTGCGAGGGAGGCAATGATGCGCTTGCGATGGCCAAGCAGGTGTACCTTTAGGACCTGGGCACAAAGGAGGCGAGGAGAAGAGAGTCAGGTGGCCGACTGGGCCCACGGTCCCCTCCAGCCCCAGCCTCTTCTGATGGACTGCTGTCATGTGGAAGCTCAGGCTTCGGGAGGCCCAGGTCAGCCCCAGCAGAGACTGTACTCACGTTGACAAGCTCCAGCTCCCAGAGGTTCTTCACAGTGTCGATGGAGCTGTAGCCACTTGACAGGAAGGAATGGACATAGTCCTGCAGCCCCAGGGAGTCCAGCCAAGAGGGCACCGAATAGGGACTGTTTCCATCATAGCCCAGAGCTTTCACCTGTGGGGCGAGGAGGGAGGCAGGAATGACATCTTAGCACTTACAGGACATGGACCTGGTAGACCCTGGGGCCAGGCCAACTCACACAGACCAGGGCCAAGGAGGGCCCTGCAGGCTTGGAGTCCTCAACACCTTTAAGTTCTTCCTGTCCCTCAGACCTTTCTATTACTGCTGTGTCCTTGGTTTCCCCATCTGGGAGTGGGAGGCCCTGGAGCAACTCTAGGGCTGGGGAAGATGGTCCTAGCAGGTAAGACTGGATGAGTCTGGAGAATGCTCCACCCTGTGCTCTGATGAGGTCACAGGCCTGGAGGGACGAGAAAATGGTGTGTGCCTGTGGAGTGGGTGCTTCCTAAGCTCTGGGCGAGTAGAAGCGACGGGGGCCATGTGCCCAGCACCAGCACAGTCAGGGAGGAGAGACTCGGGACCATCAGCTCCTGGCTTCGTGGCCCAGCTCCTCCCAGGCCTACCTGCCAGGGGTCAGTATGGGCTGGCCTGAGCTTGAGTGAATCAGGAGAGACCCTGAAAGGGGCTCTGGATCACAGGCCAAGTCTGTGGGCACCAGGCTCCTGAGCCAGACAGACCCTCAGAACCTCCCCCACTCCCTGTGCCTACTGCTCTGTTGACTCTCCAGAGGCCTTAGCACTGAGCGAGGAAGCAAAAGGTAGTCAGCCAGGCCTAGGGGCTTCTAGGATGAGGAGTAAACACCCTGCTGTGATCTGCATGTGGCAGGGCCATGCTCCTCCCTGTCCTCAGGTCAGGTACTGTTAGGCACAGGCCAAGGCTGCGGAGCTGTTGGTGGTTACCTTGGGCAGGGAGCGTGCGGCCTGGAGCAGCTTCCGCCGGTGCTGAGGGTCACTGATCCCGATTTCCCGCAGGTCTTGCTCTTCCATAACGTTAGACCCCTGAGAGCAGAAAGGAGGCATCAGGGCCCCTCCTGGATTCAGGACTGGAGGCTACATATGTCAGGTCGGCCTGTCAGGGCCCCACGCCAAATTCTCCTTCACCACAGGCACCAAGAGGGTGTGCAGACAAATCTATCTGGACTGCCAACTCCCACTGAGTGACTCTTGGGGAAGCTGGGCAGTGCCAGGACTCCAGAATGTGCACAGGGTGCCTACCCTGGCCAGAACAGACAGGATAAGGGGGCACCGCATGCTCAGGCCTGGTCACAAGCCCTGGCCCACCTGAGTGTACATGCATTGTTCTGGGAAGTAGGTTCCACGACCATCCAAGAGGAAGAATTGGTAGACTCATCCCAAGGTTCCTCACAGACACGATTTTATAATTCCAAGTCTGTAACAGCTACCTCAGGCGGGCAGCTGTGACAGGGGCAGGCACCCAAGGAGTCAGCCTCGCTCCAAGGAGGAGAGCCTCAAGTGAGAAGACTTTCTTGCCCTGGGCAGTTCTCACCCACCTACAAGGCCCCGACAGGGCAGCTGAGCGGGGAGAGGTGCATGGAGCCCCCATCCCACAGTGTCAAGCACAACGGGGACAGTAGCGAGGAGGCTGGCTGGTGCTCACTCTCTGCTTGCTTACTGCATGACCAGGGCTGAGAGCCTTTACATGGATTATCCCATTTCATGCTCATAACCCTGCATATTAGGGTCTCTGCTAATCCTTGTTTTATAGATGAGGAAACCAAGGCACACAGGTCAGAATATCTCAGGTCACATAGCCAGTGGTGGAGCAGAGATGTGAACTCATACAGCCTGACTACTACATGCCTCTAGTCCCATGAGGATCTCTTATTACTCACACAGTCATGAGATAGGTATTTTCAGATTAAATTTTAAAATACACAGTATGTCCTAAGAGGCAAAACCCACAGGTGCCGCCCATCCCTCAGCCACAAAGCCTCTTGCAGAGGTACCCACTGCCACTTCCTGGACTGCCACTTCCTGGAGCCCAGTGGATTCATTTTTACACATGGAATTCCTGTACACGTGGTCCAACATCTTATTTTTATCACTTTGTACAGGAGATTGTTCCACACCAGTTTGTGTAGACCTGTCCCTTCTTAGGAGCTGCATAATCATCCAGGCTAGGAATATATTGTAATTCACGTAACCAGTTCCCTGCTGAAAGATGTCTGGTTCCAATCCCACCACTGCTAATGGTGCTGCGTGAACTTCCCAACACGCTGAGTGCACTCCGTCTGGTTATGTGATTAGGAAGGGGACCCCTGCTCCAAGGCTACATGCATTTAAAATTCTAACAGGTGGTTGTGCTTCCCTCAGTGACGTCAATGCCAGGTCCCTACTCTGCCAGCAGTGCTGCAAGAAATGTCTCTCCTTGTAGTTTCCATGGTACATTTCTTACAAGAGTCAGATTGTGTCGCCCAGAGGGGAGGTCACGTCTTTGCACACTCCTCCGTTTCTGCATTGCTGCCTCCATGTGTCCTACATGCTGGATGTGCACATGCCATTTCATCCCAGGGGCTACAGCTAGGAAATCTGAGGCCCAGGAGGCACTGAAGTCACAGGCTAAGTGCATGGGCCCAGACTCAGCACTGACGCTCTGGTCTCTGGGCTCTGCTGTGCATCCCGGGGCACCTGAAGCTCCTTTTCCAGGAACAACCCATCTCTATCCTTCGAGGACTTTTCTATGCATTATAGTTGTTTCTGTACAGATGTGTAGGAATGCTTTACACAGTAAGAAAATGAACCTTTTACTTATGAGATGAGTTAGACATTTGTTTTTCCAGTTTGTCACTTATTCTTTGACTTTTATAGGGTTTGTTTTTTGTTTTGTTTTGTTTTTTTAGAGTTGGAGTCTCACTCTGTTGCCCAGACTGGAGTGCATTTATTTTTGTGCCTGAACGCACCCAGTTTTTTGTGGAGTTTCTCAGTTTTGTCAGGCTTCCTTATCCAAGATTATTTTTAAATTTTTCTACCATATTTTCTCTGTAATTTCACAGCTTTTTGAGTTGGAGTCTCACTCTGTCGCCCAGGCTGAAGTGCAGTGGCACACTCATGGCCACCCCAGAGTCAACCTGCTGGGCTCCAGTGATCCTTCTGCCTCAGCCTTCCAAGTAGCTGGAACTATAGGTGTACACTACCACACCTAGCTAATTTTTTTTTTAAATTGTAAAGACGTGGTTTTGCCAAGTTGCCGGGGCTGGTCTTGAACCCGTGGGCTCAGGTAATCCACTTGCCTCAGCCTCCCAAAGTGCTGGGATTTCAGGTTGAACCACCAAGCCCGGCCTACAGTTTCCTTTTTTACAATTAAATCTTTAATCCATCTGGCATTGATCTTGATGTAAGGTGTTAAGAGAGACAGGATCCAACCTTATTTTTGTCCACACAGCAAGCTGTACATTTCTGGAGTGAACTGTTTTATCTCTATCAATCTGGAACGACCTCTGAGGAGTCTGAATTCCCCATGTGTCTCTGGACCTCTTTCTGGACTTGTTCTACGGTGGTGAGTGCTACTTTCCATCTGGAAAAGTAACTTGGGCCAGCTCATGCAGACCATTACTGGTGGCCCCCCCTGCAGCTGAACTGTAGTGATGCCTGCTGTGGGAGCCTCCACAGAACCTGTGTGTGGTGACATAAATTTGTCCCACAGAGAGCACTGCCAACCTTGCACTCCAGAGCACCCAGGTGAACAGAGCCCCGAGGCCAGAACGGAGAACACATTCCTTGTGGGGCATGAGGAAGGCCTGGGCACCACTCCAGGTCAGGGGCCAGCTCCTGCGTCACCCCAAACCTGGGAGTCACCAAAGTCCCAGCAGTTGCTCTGGGACGTCTACTGTGTCTTGATGGGGAAAGGCAGAGAGAGGCACCACCTGCCCAGACCTTCTGCCCCATGAGGAGGATGCCCAGGTGAGGCCTGAGCTGGACCAACCTCAAGTTTCTAAGAGGGAGTGAATGGCCACGAGGACAGCATCGCGTTGATATTCTGAACTCCTCCTGAACCCTAACATTTACTCATAACCTTCACCAGCTCTTAGGGCAACCTTAATGCCGAACTGAAGGCTGACAACCAAGAAAACCAGATCCAGCTGCAGTCAGGCCCTTCATTAACCAGACCCCAGTCAACAGAAGTGTATGCAGCTTTGAGGAAAAACAGGTGAATGGAAACAAAACAAAAGCAAACAGTTCTCAAAGCATGTCCCAGGTACAGTGCAGGGTCCTCCCAGTTCCTGAACTGGCCACATCTCCCACTATGGGATTCGTTTGTGTGGTGACTACCCAATGCTACAAATCCTCAAAGGGCAAGAAACAGTTCTGGAAGCCATACCCTCGTTATTCAGGGAGAAAGGGACTACAACAGTTCTTTTGTTTTGTTTTCTTGAGTTAGGGTCTTACTCTGTCACCCAGGCTGGAGTGCAGTGTGGCATGATCACAGCTCACTGCAGCCTTGACCTCCTGAGCTCAGGCGATCCTTCCACCTCAGCCTCCTGAGTAGCTGGGATTACAGGCACATGCCATCATGTCCAGCTAATTGTTTTTACTTTTTGTAGAGACGTCTTACTATGTTACCTAGGTTGGTCTTATACTCCTAGGCTAAAGTGATCCTCCCGCCTCAGCCTCCCAAAATGCTGGGATTATAGCATGATTATGTCTGGCCCAGGACCATTGTCTTTTAAAAAGTTCTTCACAAGAAGGGTTATGGGGAGGAAAAAGAACTTTCTACTTTACCTTCTAGCACACTTACATTTACTGAGATTTTACTATATGCCAAGCCCTGTTCTGAGTTCTTGTGAATTAATAATTAGGAAGCTAATAAGGTGAGATGGTTTATTAGCTTAAGTATTTCAGTTAATAGAGTTTTGTTTTTGTTTGTTTTGTCAGAGTTTCATTCTGTTGCCCAGGCTGGAGTGCAGTGGCACGATCATGGCTATCATAGCCTTGACCTGCTGGGCTCAGGCAATCCTTCTGCCTCAGCCTTCCATGTAGCTGGACTACAGGCATGCACCACCATGTCTGGCTAATTTTTTGATTTATTGTAGAGATGAGGTTCACTATGTTGCCCAGGTTGGTCTTGAACCCCTGGGCTTAGGCAATCCTCTTGCCTCGGCCTCCCAAAGTACTGGGATTATAGGCATGAATCACTGTGCCCAGCCCAGTTAATAGAGACTTTTTTAGCTTTTAAAAAAGCTTCACAACCCCAAGAGAAATCTGAAACACAAAGTCAGTTTTCAAGCCTGGCCTGGTCTGGGTCCAGTACCTGAGGAAGGAGGGAGGGCATAGGAGGGCTCCTGGCAGCAGAGGTTGGACAGAGCATTAAGTGCTCCTCACCCAGGCTCTGGGCCAAGGACATTCCCCATCTTGCCTTTCTCAGGCCTCACAACTTCCACAAAGTAGGTGTTCCTACTGCTCCCTACTTTGCAGATGGGGAAACAGCTCACACGGCGCGTGGCACAGCCGGGACGGTATCTCTGGGCCTGTTCTTGGCCACAGTCTGCTTTCAAGAACTCAAGGGAAGGGGACAGCAAGAAGTAGTCCTCAGGGTCACTAAGATCTGGACATAACAAGAGTTCCCTGGGTACCCTCTGCCAGGCCTTGTGGGGGAGGTGACATGGGGTCTGTCCTGGCACTTTACTGTGCTGGGGGCTTTATATTCAGTACCTGAAAAAACAACAGGAACTGCCCATATTATACAGAAAGGAACCGAGGCTTTTAAAGCTGACTTAACTGATTCAAGGTCACAGAGCTAGCACAAGGCAAAAGGGCTGTTATAGCCCCATCAGACTAATATGCTCCAGGCTCTTCCTACTGGGGCAGGTGGGGTCTGGTGAAGACAAAAGCCAAGCGTGGAAGGTGCAGGCAGCAGCCTGCCAGGGAGAAGAAAGGGCAACTGCCACAAATCTAGGGCATGGCTCCTTCTGAGCAGAGAGGCCAGCGCTGCCCTCCCTCCTGCAGAATCATGTTACTCAGTGTCTTGTACAAATGTTCCT